GTGTAGTGGAATGTTTAGGTCCTAGTAGTAAGGTACACTGCTCTGTATGATAATTGGTGTGAAATGGTGAATGACATTGTGTATTGTAAAGCGGCTTTGAGGGGTTCTTAAAGGACTGGATAAAGCGTATATTAAGTACAGTCATTTACATATGCAAAATGCTACAGTGTAGAAATGCCAATGATTTCTTTACTGTCAATGCCTACATTCGCTACCTCCTTGGGTAAGACACTGATGTATGTTCTCACTCCCTCCCGCCCCTGGCCCCAACCACACACTCGCCCTCGTGTCGGAGGGAGGTTGTTGAGGCGGTGCCTCACTTCAAACCCGATCCCACAGCTGCTGCTGCACTGGACCCCACGAGGAACCAGGGGTCCGCGCCATTTTCCTGAGGAGCCAGAGTTGGGAATCTGTGGGCCTTTTTTGGTCAATAATTCTGCTCCATATCTGACTTCAATATCTGGACTCAATATCTGGACTCGAATATCTGATCAATATCTGGACTCATATTCTAGTCAATACTGGTGAGTAATATCGACTCAATATCTGACTTCAATTTTTATTCTGGACTCAATTCTGACTCAATATCTGACATCAATATCTGATTCAATTATCTGACTCAATATCTGACTTCAATATCTGGACTCAATATCTGGATTCAATATCTGGAACTCAATATCTGATCAATATCTGGACTCAATATTGATAAATCTGAATATCTGATATAATATCGGACTTCAATATCTGACTCCAATATCTGGATCCAATATCTGACCTCAATATCTGTCTGTCTGTTTGTCTGAATCAATAAAAGACCAAGGCTGTATGAGAAAGCTTGAGGGTCTCTGGATGAAGATGATTTCCTTGTTTTGATTAATGTTCATATAAGAGAGGACTGTTACCGAGCGTTTTGCCACCTGGCATGGTCCGGTCCTTTACACTCGACGCCGGCCACCACGGCCATAAGGTCCGTTCACACGAGGCGGGACCCGACAAACACAGCTGCTGACGGATCCCTCGCCATCATCTGGTTACCAGGCTGCCACGGCGCCCACGTACCAAAAAGCTCATCCTGGTTCAGGGTTTCCCTCACTCCAGAGAGGGAGATACGAGATAGATTAAAGGCCAACCCTTTTAATTCACTTTATAATTATTTGTAGTTAAAGTAAGTACAAGAAAGTGCATTTACAAGAGGACAATAACAAATTACAAAATAATTACCATCGGTGACAAAAAAGAAAGAAAACAGTGTGTTGTTGGTGTGTGTGTGGTGTGTGTGTTGTGGTGTGTGTGTGTGTGTGTGGTGTGTGTGTGTGTGTGTGTGTGTGTGTGTGTGTGTGTGTGTGTGTGTGTGTGTGTGTCTTACTGGGCACTGGGTGATGTTTTGGGTCCACTGGTTCATGTTGGAGCTCCCCTCGATGGTGGTGCAGCGTTTCTGTTTGAGATCCCAGCCGCAGTACGGGTCCCGAGCTTCCAAGCAGTGACTGATATAAGATATGTAGTCGGTTAAAGTGTTGCAGCTGCAGAAATATCAAGTTTCCCATCACTACTGTCTTGTTTTTAAATAATGTTCTGTTTATGTATTGGAAGACCTCTATAGGGCTGTCAGATAGACTGATACCGAGGCGTCACACAGTATTTTAAAAGGTTTTCAACATATTGAAGTAGCACCCACAGACTATAAAATGCCTGGTAACGTCTGCTGTTAGATTTGTCAAAATATGGACTGACATTTTAAAAGTAGTTTGGGCTCTTAACAATCATCTCTCTCACCTTTTTGGACTTGGCCACCCACACATTATTGTCTCTTTAATGACGCTATGATCATCAACCTTTTTATCAAGTATTTTTGAGTTTGAAGCTGCAGTTTGAGTTTTTTTGGCTCTTACACTTCACTTGGATAGCTGGAGCAGCGCTCTAACGGGATCTTCACCAGTCTGTCATCCAGCCCAACAATCAGAGACCTGTCACTGTGGAGGATTTGCAGGCTCTTGATTGGTCCGATCTTCCCCGGGGGGAGGAGCCTGAGTTCCTCCAGGTAGCAGCCTTGGAGACTTTTATTGGATGTGGAGAGAGTCTTCAGGATGGTGCCGTATTCTGATTAAAGATAGGCAAGTTATAGGATGAAATGATCTTTACTAAATGTCTTTATTGGTTTTTTTGCTCACCTGTTCCGATGTACATGACGTGGTAGAGGCTTTCTCGGCCCTGCACGATGTCCACCACCAGCTTGGAGAGGCGCAGGTTGTCCTGAGTGAGCAGAGGGTTGACGGTGAGCGGCTGCACCACGTCGTTCATGAGGTAGAGCCGCTGGGCGTCCTGCAGGCTGCGCTCCGTCAGGTTGCCCCCCGGGCTGCCCTCCTCCAGCGTCCCACACTGAGGGATTAGTGAGACGTGTTTTCAAAACATCATTATTGTGGCAGAAACTTCTGAAGCATTTGGAAACAGGACTCAGAGAGACACGAGGAGAGCTGGAGCTTTGATGGCAAACACTGACGGTTTATTTGGAGTTACGGCCGGAGAACTGACAAGACAGGTGGTGTGTCACGAGTTGACACAGCGGTTACCAAACCAATTCTGAAGAACTCTTTCTGCAGCTCGAGGTTTCAACTAGTTCAGAAGGTAATAATCAACATTCTTCATCAGTGAGACTAAAGCAATATGGACCCTGAATCTAACTAGAGCTCTCGTCCATAGGAAAGAATGTGCGCCAGGGAACCTTCGTCCCTGAACAGTAAACTACCTCATGGCGGCTTGTGCTCTGTCATAGACTGGCAACAACAATGCGCCCAAGCTGCCCCTCCTAAAGAGAGATAGCAGCAGCAATACTCAAGGCCGTAGACCTACGCCATGGGAAAGGAGACAGTGAGAGGAGAACGTGATGAACTGTGTCGAAGGTTGAATACCTAAGCAAATTATTCCCTAAAAATGATGAGTCTGCAGGTTTCGCCTGAACAAAAGCCTCCTGCTTATATAACTGATTAGTCTGTTTCCAACCTAGGAGCACGAGCTCCAAAATACCTTTGTGAAGGTCAGAGGTGGAAGAAGTATTCCAATGTTGTACTTAAGTAAAAGTAGAAATACCTAAATGTAGGGATACTCTGTTATTTAAGTAAAAGTCCTAGGATGGAGCTGAGCTATTCTCACCAAAATATACTCTCTGTTTTCACACATCAAGATAAAATGCCACCACTTCTTGGAGGGAAGGCTCACATTTGTACAGCTATCAACACCACATTGTCAGAGAAAAATGCATATGTGGATCCAGGTTGTTCAAATATGTGAGTTACCTGAAAGTTGGGTATGGGGTTTGGGGTTGAGAGCCAGGCGGTGCGGGGGTTCTCCTGGTAACGAAACGGCCCGTTGAAGGCCTGAGTGACGGCGCTCAGGTTGAAGGCGCAGACGGCAGAAGCTGATATGCTGTTCCTAAAGGGGAGAAGAGGGGGATTCAGTGTATGAAAAAACATAACCTAAATGATGTTTTATAATCCCAGATTACTCACACATTGGTGGTGAAGATGCCGTAGATCAGGTCCTGCTCTGGGAGGTAGAAGGTGCTCTGCAGCTCGTTGTAGTAAAACGGGATTTCTCCAGAGCGAGAGCAGTTGAGTCGGGCTTTCATGAAGGTGGTCCACGTGTCCTCTAACAGGAAACGACCCCCCATGTCGTTCTTACAGACCCGAGCCACGCGAGAAAACACGACCTTCCCACAGTCGTTCTCCACCGCTGTTTCTCTCAGGAAGAAATAGGTGAACCGACCGATCTCATAAACCGACACGAAGTGAGGCTCTGAAACACACAAGGGAGGAGGAAACAAGGATGTAGTCCAGCAGTTAAAAAGTACACATCCTTCACTCGAGTAGAGGTACAGATACTCGTGTTTAAACATACTCTGGTAATAGTTGAAGTACTGAATTCTTTACTCACATAAAAGTACCGAAGTATGGGCTTTGAAATGTACTTAAAAGTATGCATAACTAGCAACTGCTCTATTGAACATCTCGCTCATATATGGCCATGGGTGATTAGGAATGTCTGTTTTCAGTCGTGTCGAACTTTACCTGTATCTACATCTTCATACAGGTATTTAGGAAAATTGTAAAGAGTAAAAGTTTGTCAGAAACATAAATAGTGGAGTAAAGTACTGATACCAGAATAAGTACAATGCAATAACAAAGTATTTGTACGTCACTACTTCCCACCTCTGTGTCTAATTAGTTCAAATAAGATACGATATACTTTAATGGTCAGATCGACTCTGAAATGTGACTTGCATGACAGCAGCTCCATGTGTAACATCAACACAGTCAGATATCAAGACACAATACATGAAAAACAAACATTTAACATAACAGCACAATCACTGAGATCAGGACATATCAGTTGTTTTACCGTTGAGCCATTTGGAGTTGTACTGAGCGCTGCGTAGAGGCGGCATGTTCCCGAGGCTCCTGTAGATGACGGGGTCGCGTCCCGAGAAGTCGATCACCGTGGCGGCGTACAGCTCGCCTCGCTCCGTCACCATGGCGGTGGAGTTGTGCCGCGGGTCGTACGGACAGCGGGCGACACCGTTCACCGTGTCCAACACCGCACTGACGTTACCCACCTGGCAGAGGAGTAAACGCAGGGGTAAACACAATGACTGCACAATGTGTTTTCCTACCTCAATGCAGCAGCTGGTTTGCAGTAATGTCCCTACAGTAGAGAAAACAACTTGACTGACCCTGTGGTGATTTAGCTGTAAATAGTATTTTTATTCCATGCTTTGAATCTTTTGTACCAACCTGCCTGGTCATGCAGACGGGGGTGAAAGCATTAGTGCCGCAAGTGAAGAGCGTCATCCCGCTGATCAACAAAACCCGGACGTAGTTCTGACACTCCTCCTGCAGAAAAACACACACCATGATTAGTCATAAATAAAAATGGACAAATTCTGAATAAAGACTTCTGTATTATGAGACACACAACACACACCTCTGATTTCCCTTTGCTCTGACATGAGCGCTTTGTGTCTTCATCCGGTGCCCATTCTGTCGCCTGAGGGACAAAAATAAATTAATATTTTGCACATCTTTACGGAGCAAGACAATCAATACTACTAACACATACTGTAGGACAAGTTGATGTTACCTGTATGAGCGAGACGTTGCTCAAACTCAGTGTGAAGAGGAAGTTTCTGGAAAAAGAGATTTCATATTAGAGGTGAAGCACAAACACTGCAAAGGAAATTATAAGCTAGTTTAAGAAATGTATATGGTCAAATGTCATTATGAAAATATATTTTACAACATTGTTTAATAGCAACATATGATGACGTCATGCTGTTAAAGTTTAGAGTAGTTTTTCTGCAAAGAAATTGTGGAACTGGCTCTTAGTTTATATCAGAAGAACAGAAAGTCTACACATAAACACGTTTCTTTTTGTAGCTCTGGGTTTGGCTTATTTAAAGCTAATGCATGAATCAAGCAATTCTGAGTTTTTTTCCTTATGTTTAAATGCACTGATATAATGTCACGTGTCACCTGGCTCCCACAATCAGCTGGTTCCTGCTCAGGTCCACAGCCAGCTGGGAGTAATCCTTCACTCCTGGATGGGAGAACTCGAACATCCACGGCCTCAGCGCTGCACGGAGAAAACGCATCAGGATGAGGAGACATTTTCTGAAGTGCGTGGGAACCATCTCCACCGAATGGTACCTGGCTCACAGCCTCATGTAAGCCCTCAGTGTCTTTACTGATGTGTCACATTTCTCTCCTGTGAATCCCCTGATCCTGCAGCAGCCTTTCATCTCATTAAAAGTTTTTACACACCGAGAAGATTTGTTTTTTTTAATAGGCCGAAGAAAGTATTAGAGCGTTAGGAAGTCTTGTGGCAATTATGAATCAAGCTGAGACATTGAAGAGATGTGATTAACTATTCATGGGTGAGTAGAGGTGGATATTGATATTTGTTCCGGAGCACTTACTCCTCTTAATGAGCTCTTTGTAGTGAAAAGAGATTTGTATTTGATGTTTAATTTGATTCACTATATAGATATTCTAAAAGGAGCAAATAGTCCAATGTCCTTAGTTTGAGTCCTTCATTTTTATCGATTTCTTTCCGACTGCTGCTATAAAACAAAGCTCGTTAAAGATACAAAAATACAGACAACCAATGATTGTCTTTTAGTTGGATATCTGATGTGAAGGCCAAGACTTTTGCCTTGTGTTGCTATAAGTGGATAGAAGTAAAGGGAGGAAAGAGCTTAGTATAAGTCTAGTTAAAGCACATGTATCCTGATGCTCTGACCTTGGTGAGAGACGACAGGATGCTCCTTCCTGCTGCACTCTGCTGGCTTCATGCTGGGCTGCTGGGACAGACAGACGGACGCACAGACGACCAGCAGCAGGCCACAGGGGGAGAGGGACCGCACCCCCCACCCTGACTCACCCATAGCTACAACCACATCCAGTCTTCTTTCAGGTCCTCAGGAAACACCTGATGGAGCAAAGGAGATATCGGTTAAAACAATCCCGATTTAAAATGCATTCATTGTGGGATCATTTCAGTCTATTGTGCTCTAGAGGAAGGTTATGGTATAAAAAGCAGTGTGTATAACATCATGGAGTTCTTTAAAATACTCAAAAGGTTATATCAACAGACGCCTCTATAAATAAGTCTAGTGACCCATACAAACAACGTAAACACCAGCAGTAGATACGAATTTCCATATACAGTATTTTGCACTTCTTCACATACTTCCTCGCTTGTCTATCCATCTAAATTAGTTTTGTGTGCCCCCCCGACCCAGAGGAGTTTCTGTCCGTCTGCTCTCAGTGTCAGCAGGACTCGGTCATGGCTAATTCGCCTCAAAAGGCCCGAGCCGACAATCTCTCTAATGCAGACTCTCAGACAGAGGGTGCCATCACCAGAGATCTGTGTGACTGAGGAGAGCTTTTCAGAATCGGGGCTGAACCGTGAGCCACATGAAGAGTCTTTGTGTCGACATCAAAAACTCATTTATGTACATTAAATCTGATGATGATGATGATGACAGTAGGCTCAGGGGTCATAGTAAAGTCCCTTTTTACACCATTTGGTCAAACAACCTGAAGTAAAAAGCTTAGAAACCAATCTTAGAAAGATCGCTCGACGATGCCAAATAACTCCAACAGGTCAAAGACAGCTCTTTTCACCACTGTGCGAACACACACAGGACAAAGGGAGGATGCCTACGCTACTGATAAAGCATGAAACAATATTAGATACAAACATGCCATGTCAATTTTTTCTGGGAGGGAAAACAAGGCAATGCTTGATAAGGTTGTGGACAAACTAAAGAAAGCCTCAGAGTTATGGTATTAGAGAACACTTTTGACTATGAAGCAGACCATAACACTTTAAAGAACGTGATACAAGCAGATGACATTTGCTTTTCAAATCTGAAAAGGGGGATCTTTGTTCATATAAAAGTCTCTTATTATCAGATTAACTTGTTTAAAGCATAACATACCCACCACATACTGTATTTTAAACGTATTGAACCATTCAGTTGAGCAGATTTGTCTAGCTTCTCGCTCTCCTTTCCCCCTCAGACTGGTTCCCCTGCAGAACGGAGGCGCTGAATGTCTGCCTGTCTGAGTGTTTGTGCAGGCAGAGGTTTTTCAACCTGCTGGGTCTGACATTGCTGCTTAATGAGGCGACAGCAGCGAGCCTCCACCGCTGGCCTCGCCTTTGTTATGTGTCCGCGCTCGTCTCACGGTGCAAAGGCAGGCCAGCGAGAGGCCTGGTGCTCTGGGACTTTTTATTAAGTACAATGAGCGGGGGGCAGCACCACATGTCACTCAGATTCTCCAGGGGGCAGGAGGAAATGTTCAGATGCAGATTCTCACTTTGGATTCCAATGATTTCCAAAGATGTAAAGGCCTTATTTGTCTTTATAGCGTAATTTTTGCAATGAAAATCTCAAAAAGTGCCAGAATCCTACGATACACTTAACGTAAAAGTGAAAGACATAACATTAATATGATCGTGCAGTAGACAAATGAAATACTGTAGGGTAGAATAAATACTGTTTACTGTAGTAATATATAAATATGTGGACATAAACAAACAGATGTACCCCTAACTCTGCTCGGGTTTTGAGCATTTAAGAATCAAAATAAAGCCGAGATTTTCCTGCTTTTGGAGCAAAACCCGTAGGAAAAGTAGACGGGAAAACATCTAAGCCTGAGTTCCTGGAACCATGTCAGAACATTCATTCATGTCGCTGCCCGTGTTGGAAAAACACCATTAAGCTTCAACAACCTGCGAGGAGATTAGACATACAGAGTGGCTGATTCATGTGACCTGTGTGTGTTTTGGACTGTGGGAGGCAAAGCACAGGAACACGGAGCGAACATGTGACCTGCACACAGAGCAGGATGTTAACCCTCTTACCGCCACCGTGCAGAAAGTTTCACTGAGTCAATAAAGCAGAAATTATGACATGTTTAGTTTAGCAGTTGTGTTTGCCTTGTGATTAATCTCCCTCACTAGTGTGTGTCATTACTCACGGGGGGCACTTGAAGTCGCTCAGATACACAGAGAGAAATAAGGTGCTGAAAGTTTGTTACACTTTTAGATTAGTTTTAGATTAAATGCCAACAATTAAACATCTTTTGGGAGTTTTCCCTTTCCTGTAGTGTGTTATATAGGTTTGTGTGCATGTAGATGGTTAAAATCCACAAGTTATTATGATATATACAATACATAAACAATTATGAAACCTGGAAATGAGCATAATAGGGTGCCATTTAATTCTGCTATTAGGATTGCATTTGTTATAAACAGATAAATACCACACCATGTTTCCCCTAGGTTTACTGCTTTGGGGGGGTGCTGCCTGAGCGGGGTGGGGGGAGCTGTGGATTATTGTTTCTTAGGGTCAAAAACACTAAACTCACAACTTAAAATGAAAGCGTTTAGTTTATTTAATAAAAGAGCACATGTTCAATTTGAAAAGTGACAGTAGTTATAGATTATNGTAGGTATGGTGTTCTTTGGATGCAATTCAGCATTCTTTCTCCTCCAAACACATCTAGTTTAGTTTTTACCAAAAAGTTCTATTTTGGTTTCATCTGACCATATGACATTCTCCCAATCCTCTTCCGGATCATCTAAATGCTCTCTAGCAAACTTCCGACGGGCCTGGACATGTACTGGCTTAAGCAGGGGGACACGTCTGGCGTAACCTGCACACATGCATTACGTCCTCAACGTGAGCTCAGTCATCCAAGATCTTGTATTCTCCAAGATGTTACACTATCTATAACTATCTATCTGTCTGTCTATCTCTCTCTCATCTATCCATCTATCAATATATCTATCTATCTATCTCTCTATTTATAAGGAACCGCAGTAGACATAAGGCGTTGCTATAGCAACACGTCATGTTTACGCTGCATTTTCTGAGGTAAATATTACCCGCTGGCGGATGTAGGTATAAATGGCGTTTTTTTTTGGCGATTTTTTCAATCTGACTTCATATTGACAATTGTTAACAACAGACGGTGCTACATAACACACTTTCAGGAAAAGTCACGGACTGGGAGACTTTAATATGTTATTGAACAAAAGTTACATACAATCAAAAAACGGCTGCGGGTAAAATTTACCCGTTGGCGGTTCTAGTGTTAAACAGACAGTTCAACAAAAGGACACCCAAAAAATGGGCTGGCAGCCCAACGATCAACAGCCAATGAGTGACGTCTGAGGAAGATGAAAAATGTAAATTAAACATTGTTGAGAAAATGCTGCATCTCTTGCACTTATTGACATAGAGGAGCCTTATTGTTCACCTTTTTAATATCATTTTTTGTAATTTTCAATTGCTTGGTTGTCATGAAATTAGCCTGTTTTCCTATTAAAGTGTAACAGATTGATGCTTCCCCACAGATCATCTTAAAGGCTTCAGAATCCCCCCCATTGTAGTTAAAAAGCTGTCAAAACTAGGGCCCCCAAACAGCTTCTTGCATAGGGCCCCCAAAAAGCTAGAAACGGCCCTGATCTGAATAATATATTGCGAAAATATGGACGATCGTGCAATAACATATACATATAAGAAGAAGAAAAGAACAGAAGAGAGAAGTGACACTTCATTGTTGGCAAAGAGATTTTGGTCGCTTTAGTCGTTTGGGATGTAGGAGATATTTAAAATGTTTTTTATTAATAATGGAAATTGGCCTCATTCATCCCCGCAGCTTTGATACTGGTCCGTAGCAACCACAGGATGCTTTTACACACACACACACACACACACACACACACACACACACACACACACACACACACACACACACACACACACACACACACACACACACACACACACACACTGGAGGTCCACTGATTGTTCTCTTGATCATTCATCAAGCTGAGGAGCTAAACAAGCTTTAAGCTAATAACAAGCTAACAACATGCTAATGAGTTGACAGGGCCTGAGTGTCTCTGAGGCCTGTCTGCTATACAGCCAATTAGTTAGCAGTAGCACCCAATGGGAGTTCCCTTCTTATTAACAAGGTGGCTGCTGAACCCCCCCCCCCCTTCTGTTGGACACACTGACTGAAGGGGAGGGGGGGAGGTCATTTCATTTTCAAGCCTGATATGATGTTACTGTAAATGTCAACAGCTCCTCTTTGTGGAGGCTGCGATGTGAATGGCCGCTGACATGTTCACTGGAATGTTATCACAAAAATTTGAATGACAATTAATTATATTATGAGTATCAACAATCGGAATAAACCTAAACCTTATACTGTTTAAAGGGCGGAAGGAAAAAGACAACAACAATTTATTTATAATAATTATTCTGTATTTTGATAAACAAATTGCCAAGCTGAACATGTATTTCCTTCAATCGATTTGATACATTATTTTAAATAGGCCTTCATAATGTATATTTATTTTTTAATCCATCCATAACTGTTTGTCGGGTAAATACATTTTTCTCCCATTTCATCCACACATTTAAACATTGTTTATTCTGAGAAAGAATTGAAACACCTGGATGTAATCTAATTAGAAATTGTTTTATTTCCAAATAAAGCCAATGTGTATGTCCTTACTAAGCAGCAAAAGGCATTGGCCAGCTCTTGGTGTGGATGTTTAAGAGTAATGGATTCTATTGTTGCATTTTGGAGAAAGTGTTAAAGGAGAATGTGATGAAGTGATGTTATGCACTTTACATTCAGTTTTGAGTGTTCTTTAAAGTTTCCATTTCCCATTCATGTATGTTCTGAACTATCATTTGGTTGTTTCTGCCAAAAGCTCTGATGGTGGAGTGTTGGTTGTGCTCCTTTCATTTGTTCCCACCTCCACACAGGATCCCAGCCAGAGGGACCATCAGGGTGCACTCTGGGTATTCCCCCTCTCGACCCGGTTTAACAGCACTTTCTCCTACTGCTGATATGTTCTACTGTAATGCACAATCTCTCTCTCTCCCTCTGTCTGTGTGTATGTGTTACACATCATGTAAATACTCTAAGTTGTAACCTACCAGTGTGTCTTACCACATGAAAGAGTTAAAATAGTATGAATGGTTTTGTCCGACTCCATAGAAGCAACCATCCACTCTGATGCTTTCAATGTCATTTGCCGTAACTTACAATCATCTAAACCCTAGTTTTATTTATTTATGACGCAAACACAAGCAGACAGGTGCTCAGATAGACCTGAAAAGGGACTTGAGCACCTGCCCTTTTGCCCACTTTTGAGAATGTACTTTTTTCAATTTAAAAATCAATACATAAAGCAACAAAAAACAACTGTGTCTAATACACATATTATTAGCTGTATAAAATCACACCTTTAGATTGCCTGTTATTTCGAAGGCATAATCTGAATGCCCTTATTGAGAAGGGGGTACACTTCATTTCTTTGCATGTTGCATTGATGAACTGTTGTGTAGGAGTGTTTGAACCAATCTCCAACTTCGGCTTTTTTTAAATGCATACATTTTAATAACCCTTAAAACTGTCACAAATGTAGTTATTCCAGGAATATGTGTAACAAAAACCCTTTTTTGAATTTGGGCCTTAGTCCCTCTAACATCCTCTGCACGTGGCTGTCCACAAGGGGATAACCACCATATGATTTCCTTAAGCATTCGTTTTTTTTGTCCGTATGTGGGCAGTTCCTCACCTTGTCTGATCTTAGAAATAAACTACAAACATTGTTGCACTCATCACAATGAATACTTGATAAAAGGGGATTTGATTTCATCAGTGTTTGTAAGATGTTTACAGTGTGTAGGGGTGGGGTTCTGGGGGTGGATGGTAGAAAGTGATCTAAAGCGCTCTAATTGTAGGTGGTCGTGTGTTGGTGAAAGTGATTTTGTGTCCCAGCGTGTCTCTGTGTCTGTCACATCAATATACGACCAACCCCTCATTTAAACATCTACTCGCACCCCCCACCCCACCCCCCTATCAGCGAACCACTAGAAACTCTCCTTCTCCGCTGACCACTTTTGCTGGTACTGACATCGCTGCAAAGAAAATAATTAGCACTAAATTCAGACAATACACCCCCCTCCTCTTTTCTGTCAAACCCCAACTTTCTGTGCCCTCCACCCCTTGTTCTTCACCTTCTCTGGGTGAGGAGGGCAGATATGGATGGGTGGATGGATTAGGGGGGATAATAGATGAGAGATGATCATCAGGGAGCCTCTGTCAGCTGTGACCTTTGCAGGCTGAGTGACCAGAGAGGCAGCAGAGTCGTTACCAGCCTTCTCCCTTTGTGAGTCTGTCGCAGCCCCGCAGAGAGGAGAATGGCTCTGTCATTTAGGGCACCGGTTCCCAACCTGGGGGTCAGGACCCCTAGGTGGTCACATGATAATTGTTCTGGGTCATAGAACATAGTTTTACTATCTATATTATTAGCTTTTTGGGGGGATTTTCCTTTTTCTGTTTCTTGTGGCTTTCACTACAACATAGGTGAGAATTTATCACATATAAAGAGAAACTCATCTTTCAAATGAACTATTTTCCACTCTCTATGTATTTATTATTTACAAAGTCTATCCAAAAGATTTGATTGAATTGTGTTAGTTTGTTGTACCTGCTGTTTAGATAAACAGATATATCTTGAACCCAATGTTCTGTTTTATTTATTTTATGTAATGTAGCCTTAGAAGATTAATTACAAATCAATAAAATAAATAATAAAACTCAGTTTTTGGGAAAGTAATGCACAACAAGGAACAGCAAGCAATTTGTTTTGTTCATATATGAGAAATGTATAGCATACAGCTTAGGGTTTATAAGTGGTATATTCAATTCTGGATTATGTAGGGGGGTTGGTATACAGAGACAATTAATTTAAAGTGTTTGTCCTCTGAGGGATAGATCACTTTCCAACAATTAGCACCATTTGCAGGTATAGGGGGAGGTGGGGCAAACGTGTTTTGTTATTCAAATCAAAGCCACTTATAAAAATCTGCTACTCTGGTGTGCAATGTGCAAACTGATAAATCAAGTGTAAGTTCTTCTTAATTTGCTCGTTTTACATCTGTTTTATAACAGTTCTTGAAATCCATCTGTCAATGTCCTCCCTGGTCTTTTTGATTTCATAACAGTGCCAGAAGACCTTTATGAGTGAGTCAGTATGAGTGCAACATTTTAAACATGGAACTGCAGAGGCCATACTCAATATACTAATGTATTGTATCGCTGCTATAATGTCAAATCCTGTCATTCATTTACAATGAATGAAACACATATTTTTATGTTTGGTGATTTTAAATGTGATTTCTAAACATTCCTTCATTTTTCCTGATTAGTAATCAACATAAGGTGTGCAGTTCAAGAAGTAGGTGCAGTATGATCTTATATTATCTCATCTGCTCAGTGTTCTCTCTCTGCTGGTTGTGATGTGGCTGATGAGCATCAGGTATGCCAACAGGCATGTTCAGACATGCAGCGAGGACCCCAGAGTGCACAGAGGCCCCTCACCCTGCCTGAGTAAAACCTCACTGATCGGCTCTCCAGAGGATAGACCACCCCCCTGTGTCGACCTCACAACAATCTCCATGCACTCTTCCTGACATCCACAACACTGTGAGAGGAGCCGTTATCACTGAGAGCCTGACACTGACGGGAAGAAAAAAGAAATCTGTTGCACAAAACGGATTCAATTTCGGTTCGACTGCTTCAGCGGTCACATTCTAACTGAAGATGATGTCAACAGGACACAGTCAGCGGCGTTAGTTAAGATGCAGCGACCAATTACCAGGGGTGGAATGTACATAAGAACATTTATTCAAAGACTGTACTTAAGTTCAATTTTGAGGTACTTGTAATTTACTTGAGTATTTCATTTGTTTTGCTGCTTTGTACTTTTCCTCCACTACATGTATTTAATCCCTTTAGTTACTTTGCAGATGTGGATTAATGATATGTAATATGATCAAGTGTTAAATCAGACTTTAGTTCCACCTGGAGTAAATTCACAAGCCCTGCAGTATACAAAGTCATTCAAACTAGCTGCACCTTTACCAGCTCTACCAGCCAATGATCAATCATTATAAAACATATCATATATATTATTCTGAAATGGACCAATCTGCTCAATGACTACTTTTACTTTTGGTAATTTAAGTTTTTAATACTGTTTACTTTTATTTGAGTAACCTCTTGAATGCAGGACTTTTACTTGTAACATCGTATTTCTACACTGATGTACTTCTACTTTTAAGATGATCTGAGAACTTCTCCCACCTCTGCCAGTTGCACCTAACATAGCTCCCATACCCACATGGAAATAAGAGGGTTGCACCTTTCTATTGAATAGGGTAAGCCTAAAATAAAACCTGAATGACAGATGGTTAGACTTGTTAGTCATGGTGCACATTTAGCTTTTACTCATTTATTTTGGACGTAGCTGCATTATTGATTTTCATACAGTGTTTTAAAATGCAGGTTATTTAATATATGTTGTATTATATTTGGGTTAAGTGAGTTATAAGTATAAGTTAATTAATACATCAAATATATGTATTTTTCAATAATGTATTTTAATTAAGGTTTCTTTATTAAGTGGGCTATGAATTACAATTATATTGAGTAATAGTAGTAATGCATGTAATACTTTTTTTGAATGAAGTTTGTGATTACTTGTGTAAAAATGTGTGGTACTTTTTCTTCAATGTGATCACTGATAATATCTATATGAAATGATTCATTACATTTTTGGTTGACAACTACTGAGAGAAAGAAATGCAATCAAGTATAATAATGTTTAAGATGTCTGTGCTGTTTCGTGTCACCTTTATTGTTTTTTGAAATATTTTCAAACTGAACATTCCAAGAGTTGAATTGTCTGTGTATGTAAAGAACTGCTTAAAATACTTAAAAAGAAAATAAATAGTCAAAATAAAGGAAATGATTGATGCATCCTCCGTTGTCTTCCAGCCTCTCAAGTTCAGGCAGACATTGGGAGAGACAAAAACCCAAAAGAAGTTGACAGGGCCCGTTTTCCCTTTGTGGACATGAGAGTGGATATTATTTATCAGATACAAACCAAGCTTCTGCCGGATCATTGTCAATGAATTCATGTTAGCCTCGAACAGTTGGGCCCAAGATAAGAAAAACTATATTTTCTATAGACACACCTAGAAAACATTTTTTTTATTCTCTAGCATTTATCACAATCATAATTGTATAATGTAAATGCCTACACATAATATACAATAAATAATAGATTATAATAAAATAATACACTACAATTTCAATGAATTTGGTAAACTTTTAGCAAAAGATATAATTTAGACCAATTATATAACTGGAGCTTGGCTATAAGAAAACCCACTTCAGTGTGTGTCACTTAGAAAGGTGTTCTTTAAAGCCAATGCAGTAGCACTTACAATGGTTTGACCTTTAAAAGTTAATGTACCTGCACTTTTCGAGTTGTTATCTGCATTGTTGAACGCATTCATTGTAAGTCGCTTTGGATAAGAGCTTCAGCTAAATGAAATGTAATGTAGAGTAACATGAGTTCTCTTCAAATTTCAAAATAAGACATTATCAAAGCACCCATAAACTGAGTTAAACATATGTGTATATATATATATCAGTTAAGATGAAGTCAAACTTGTGTTGAAAGGAACAGATGAACAGGACCCTGTCAGGCCGTGGCTGAAGAGCAGATCATAGGTCAGAGATGTGCTGTCCATGTCCACAAAGAGAAGGGTTGGAAAGCAACATTTACATTCACACAATTCAACATCAAATGTGCCACATTCATACACAATGTGTCCTCAGTGAGCTGTTGTATTGGTGCTGTGAGGCCTTGCTTCACACGCTGCTTAACACAAGTGGTGGAGGTGTTGAGAGAACTCTTAAGCTGTCCACCACCAACATTTCCTTTATTTGGTGTCTTCCTCCAAGTAGGATAATGGTGACGTCAGTGTCAGAGGTGTTATTGTTGTCATTTTAACATTTGAGTCTTTCTGTGTAGTGACCATGTGACACACACACTGAGGGAACATGTGTCACAGCACACCATCACTCCTCCCTCTGCTTCCTGCTCCTCCTCCTGCTGCCTTCTCTGTGTCTCCTCCTCCACCTCTTCCTCTGAGATGCCGAACCCTCCTCCACAGCGACAGCCGTATGCGTACACACACTCATCTGAAAAAACACACATTACACATAACTTACATTTGAGATAAAGTACTGATTTATCTGACTTAATCAGACAGTGAGTAAGAACTTGTTTGGATATTATGACCATGACTTGTAACCCAAATGAATCATTATAAACTCAAAAGATATTAGGACTCAATCATTTGTTATTTACAATATTAGAAGTTCGAATGTAGTAAAAGGAACTATAATTTTCTTTTGCTCAACAAGTGGTATAATGCAAGTTTGTTTGTTGGTATCTACACTGGAGGAACATTTCTTCTGACAGACGACAGCACTTCACACTGACACTGAGCATGCTCCTTATTGTGTGTGTAAAGTTACTGGGAAAACATGGTTTCATTCTTTTATGCTGCTTTTGCCAGGTGACAATATAAACGTGTCTCCCATCATCATCTCCTTTAATATTTCTGGTTGTGTTGGAACATAGCAGACACTGTTGCAAATCAATGCTTACAGGATGGTATTATTGGATTTTCATGTGTTTATTTTTCAAGGTCATGAAATATCTTAACTTCTTCTCTATGAAAAGAGTGGTGCTTCTCTATGAAAAGATTGGTGCAGGAATGTGATCGTGATGTAGTTTGTTTATAGCCGAACATTAGCTTTTAACTTCTCACAATTGCACGTTTGCTTAAAAATCATAAAGTGGTTCTAACATGTGGAGATTATCATTCTGAACAAAACGTGTGTGTTTTAGTTTACATGGGGTGTACTCACCCTCGTCCCAGGTCATGTCCTCCAGACAGACGGTAGAATCCACCGGCCAATCCTGTTTCAGTTCCTGAGCTGGAGAAACATTAAAGGGGACCTCTCATGCAAAATGCACCTTTGTACGTCTTTCATACATGAATATGTGTCCCCGGTGTCTCAGGGAATTCACCAAGTGTCAGAAAACACAACCCTCTCTATTTTCCTCCATACCCAAATCTCTAAAAAAGGGGCTGCAACGGATCTGATAAAAACTGATCCAGATTTGAAAATAGTCTTGACGTCAGTGACGAGGAGCTCCGCCTATATGGCCAACTCTACACCTATCAGGGGAATGAGAGGTTGCCGTGGCATGGTAACAGCATGGTAACAGCATGGTAACAGCATGGTAACATGACGCTCGTAACTCGGCCCCCTCCTTTGCAGGGGGGCGTGGTCCGCTGCAGCGCATGCAAAGACAGGGTGGAGGAGAGGAAAATAGAGCGAAATGAGGCATGGCTAAAATGCATGACCTGTTTGGTATTTTGAAAAAGAAAACGTATAAATATACCTTATATAGGTAAGGCCCTACAATATATTATTCAAATATAGCATGATAGGTCTCCTTTAAGCAGCGATATGAAACATCAGCGGTGAGCAGTATTATGTCTTCACATCCCTCACATAATGTTGTTATATTCAGAGTTGTAATGAAGCAGGACTAGACTATGTATTGAATTAGTATGTATGTTCAAATCATCTTTTTTTTCTTAAGATAGTTTTTTGGACAGATTTGAACGATGAGAAGAGAGGAGGACACACATAATGGGCTGGTGAGCTATCCGGCTGTCCCATCGTTTCTTTGGGATGATTTCTGTCTAAGGACAGAGGGTGTCATCTGCTGCACAAACTGCGAAGCCCCCTGATAAAAATGTGTTCTTTTTTATACTATGCTATATCATTTGATTGATTTATTAATAAGAAAAGAACAAAAGCAAGAAGACACTCATAAATCTACAATCTTACAACTCTATAGTTACAATGCTTATGGGAAACACCTCTCCTCCCCTCACATTGGTTTAATGGGTTTCAAGACCCTAAGGTGCTTTTGTTTGAGGGCGCTACAATGCCAACATCCTCAAATAAATGTTTAATCGGAAAGAAACTCTACCATCAATATATGAAAAGTGACGGAAGAAGGGAAAATGGATGGACTGACTGGAAAAATGGTTAGGCTAGTGAGCAGATTTCACTCATTCTTATTTTCTAGCTTTCACTCTTGAGGAAACACTCATTATCAAGTTGTACAGTTTGAAAGTGATAATGACTCTGAACCATTAATAATGAGTGCTAAACCTCGCTCGGGTCTTAATTAGTGTTAGATATAAAAAAAGATGATCTATATAGGCTTTGTTACATTCTAATCAAATGACAATTAATGTATGTAGGACTTGTTAGACAGTAACTTGCAAAAAAACACATTATGTATTATATGTTAGAGTTTTTATGGAGGTTTTGATGACTTTTGATTCATTGTCGAGTCCTATGTAAATGTAAGTAAAGTGAAGTATGTTCTCTACCTCTCCTCTGCAGGTCGTACTCTCTCCTGGTGTTCTGGTCGCTCAGGACCCTCCAGGCTGCATCAGCTTCTAGAAACTTCTTCACACCGGAATCTGCTTCTGAAGAGCCTCCGAGGCGGTCCGGATGGTACTGTGAATGGGGGTGCGCACACAAACATATACAGACAAATTATTTTGCTACACAGGTAAATATTTAGTATGAATGATCTACTCTTCCGTATACAGTATCCTTTGTTTATACTTTATAAGTAGTAGCTTGGTCTATAAGCAGGGGTGCACATAACTGGTACGCAGGTACGCATGCGCAGCAAAAATCTAAAATGCGTAACGTCACTGCGCGCCTTTGCGTACCTGATAGGTCATCAAAACAAAACACATGTTTCATCTACATGTGTTTTTTGTCAACACTCAGTGGAGTAAACTACTAAACATGTCAACAAAACAAAAGACATTAAGCAGCCACTTTGGCGTTTTGCTCCCTGCAAAAAAGCTTCGGACTTTGCTGCGCAGGACATAACCGACGGACCTGTGAAGCTTTACAGGAAGCAGAGGCTTAGATCACTGGACGACAGAGTTGGTGCCCTGTACACAGACAGGGTTAACGTCGGTGTGTACAACGGAATTGTACCAAAACTCTGCCAACTGGCTGCAGTGGGAGACTCCCCTGTGCACATTCTGCGCCCCGCGCACACACTGGAGAACTGCGCAAAATCAGCTGATCACAACGTTCACGCTCTGTGGTCAAGCTGCTGCAGTTTGATTTACAACAAAGTGGAGTAAAACACACAGCTGCAAACTTACTCAGGGTGTTATGGAAGAGTTTGAAATCAGATAGAGGTGGGAGAAGTACTCAGAACTTGTACTTGAGTAAAAGTAGAAGTACCAGAGTGTAGGAATACTCTGTTACAGTAAAAGTCCTGCATTCAAAATGTTCCTCAAGTAAAATTAGAAAATTATTAGCATCAAAATATAGTTAAAGTAGCGACAGTAAAAGTAGTCATTATGCAGATTGGTCCATTTCAGAATAATAGATATGATATGTTTTATAATGATTGATCATGAAAGTGTTCTCAAAGCTGGTAAAGGTGCAGCTAGTTTGAATGACTTTGTATACTGCAGGGCAGCTTGTGGATTTACTCCAGGTGGAACTTAAGTCTGATTTAACACTTGATTATATTTCACATCATTCATCCACATCTGTAAAGTAACTAAATGTATTACATACATGTAGCGGAGTAAAAGTACACGGTTTACCTCTGAACTGTAGTGTGGTAGAAGTACAAAGTAGCATAACATTGAATACTCAAGTAAAGTACAAATATCTCAAAATTGAAAAAAAGTACAGTACTTGAATAAGTGTACTTAGTAACTTCCCACATCTGAAATCAGATATGACTTCAAGTCATGCGATCATTTCTTAGTATTTGATCCTTCAACTTGGCCTCAGGAAATGCAAGGACTTCACAGTTTTGGCAACAAGTTTTGGAGAAAGCAAATCGGAGGCTTAAACAGGGACAGGGAGGTGCATCTTCATCATCTTCATCATCTAGCATGCAAGAAGTGTAAATAGAGGACAGTGAAGGAGACACTGAGGAGGTCCATGGTGCGTGTGGGGTGAGTACCAAACGCTGTCTCCTGGTACTCATCTGAGTAACTCACTAAAAAAGTGATGTGCACCCCTGGATATATTAATGTTAACTATTAGCTTATTCTGTATATTTGATATTGTGTATTCAATAGATAATATATAACTTTATAATATTGATATGTTTTTATTTCCTAATTATGTTTTTTATTTTTAAATTAATCTGCAATGCCTTTTTTATATTCTCCTGTAACAAAAAAAAAATTCAAATTGAAATCAATACATCTAATATAATCTACACTTTAACAGGAGCTATTGCTTGAGTTAACATAAACACAGGATAATAATGTATTTGTATAGAACCATGGAGACACGTTCTCCTACAGTGTGCAGTAGTGTGATGCTTCTTGCTGACAGAGACAGACAGGGTGTTTACCTGTAGGGCCAGCTGCTGGTACCTTTGTCTGAGCCGCTGCACTGAGTCTGAGGGACTGGCCCCCAGCACAGCGTAGAGGTCCTTCTCTGCACTCATCCCTGTCAACACAACACCGGAAACACTAACACAGATATACTGTTGGAGCTAATAATCTTCCAACTGGCTTCATAGAGAAGCATCAGATGGCTGCATCAAAAGCACGTCTAAAACTGCCAGATCAGTATCAGACATGCAGCTAAAGGCAGTGCTGAGTACACTCCTTTAAAACATGTGTATTTGACGTGGTCAGAGCTGAAGATAAATGAACCAAGGAGAAGGAGGAGCAATTCATGGGATCTACATAAAGAGGCACCAACTAGTTATATCTTCTTTAACATATTAAATAATAATATTAATAAAGTGCCAGTTATAATGTTTCATATTTTATTCAGTGTCTATAGTATACTGTCTTCTTCTAATACCTCTTTAGTGTGTTCAATATTTGTACTACAGTTTATACCTATTGGAATTGTAGACAGTATACTGTACTATATGTATAATATACATTACACTGTACCTTACAGCTTCTCTTAAGAGTTCTGGTAAGATGCTAACTGCATGGCATTGTCTCAGTACTTGCACTCTGAGTAATGACACTAACTTTTAATCTAATAGATAGATGTATTTAATAATTTGGCTCACATGCCCAATAACACATGTAGGCCTACAACTATTGAATCAAATAAAGCATAACGTAAAATGTCAAAGCGAGGTTAATATATATATATATATATATATCATATCCAAAGTTATTCGGAAAGCAGCTCAGTAACACCTGCTTGTTTAAAGAGCTTCAATGACAGTCAGGTTGGATGCACTGTTATATTACTACAGACTGTACAAGTTATTACAGTGATATACGTTATAGACTTCTCTGAACGTAACACAGAAACTAGCTAGCTGGACTGCAAAGCTACTTCGGTGTCTTTATATACTCCGCCATTATTGTCTCATTAACGTTACAGTATGTTATGGAGCTTAATAACATGACAAAACACTTTTATTCGGTACTGCCGTTTGTTTACACCGAGCAGAACAAACGTTAGTGAAGCCGGAAATGTAGTCCTTTTGTTCATAACGAATGTACATAATAAAAGCACATTTCGTTCTTTATTTGATCTGTTTTTATGTTTTATTGTAATGCATTAAACATACCAACAAGGCTGTGTCCAACGATGTAAGGATTCCTCCAGTGTTTTCAGTCCGGCTGCTGACTTCCGGTGTTGCTAACCAATACTTCCCGTCTTTTAAACAAATAAAAGCACCACACTACAATTCTGTGGGAGACGGAAAAAAATCGAAACATCTGAAAACACATTGAGGGACACCCCCCCACACACATTTAATGGTGATAAAAAACATAATTAATGCAAACAAAACGTATTAATAAAACAAAAAATATCAATAAAACTAAAGACAAAGAAAAAATATAATAAAATACTCTAAATTGGGCTGAACACTACAGCCCCTGAAATGATGCTGTCAAAATGACATTCCAAAAATGTTAATTTCATATTTTATCAGCACTATTAACAAAATTGTTTTCAAATCAAGTGATAGTTGGAAAACAGTGATGTACAAACCTGGCTTGTCAGGGATAAAGTATGCTTAGACAGTGATAATCATTGTATTTGAAGAAAATAATAGTCTGGAATGTAAATGGATAATGTATTTTAATACAATCTAACTATGTGAGATGAAGTGTTAAATTCCACGGAAACCTCTGAAACAGAAGCCAGAAAAGAGCAGCCAAGACCACACGCTGGGAAATGTGCACTGACTACACAGACCAGGAGCGATCTGTTAATTGAAATGGGAACAGAACAGATGAGGTGAAACTATGACACCTCATGATCTGACTTCCTGTCTGTCACTCACTTACAGCTCTTTAACGAGGCCACAGAGGAAGGGGGAAGGGAGCGGAGACACAGTGACTGACATTGTTCTGCAGTTAATTATTTCTTCATTTCAGGCGAATTAAGGATCAATTAGTCAAGTGACAAAATATTCACTGTCAAAGGAGGGCTGTGGTTTTCACTCTATTAAATACACTGGGCTGTACAGTCTGATGCAGTTCAATACTACTTCCCTAAAAGTAACCCTGTCTTTGTGAAGATTTTTGATGCTGGTTTTGTACTTAATATTTATAATAAAGATGTTTTTAGTGTTTCCTCCCAAATCAACAAAAAGGCTTAACTTTTCATATACATCTGCATTTAAACAAAATCTGAAATGAAGGCCTATACACAGTGTAAGGTGATGCCCTGACACAGTGTGTATCTTAAATGAGGTCACTTTCTGATTCAGGGTCAGTTTTGGATGGTTTCCAGAGATAATGTTGGTAGTAATGTCATTGGAAAGGCAGATCATCTTTCGGAGTATGGGTTGACATCTGAGCATCAAAAATAACTTCCTGTCTTGCAGTTTGAGCAGGAAACCATTCATAAAATACACAATATTTCACATTTCAAACAGCAATATGCATCACTTTGGTTAAACTCAGACGTAAAAATAGGAAAACTAACAGTATTTTGGAGAAGATGGCTAGATAACAGTAGGCTATATATACAATAAGCAATCTCTATAAAGATGGTATATTTAAATCCTTCACTGAATTAGCCCAAGAGTACAATTTGCAACAGAAGGGGGATTTCTGGAAATACTTTCAGATTAGACACTGCTCGGTGGAAAAGTATCAGCCGAATGAAACAGATAACCCATTAGTTGACTATCTTCAAAACCCACTTAACCATAAGGCATCAATATTCTATAGTAAATCAATGTATTTAACCAGCAGCACATGTGATCATTTTAGGATAATCTGGCAGAAAGACCTTGACTGTCAGATTGACGAAGATACATGGAAACAGATTCTGACTGATAACGGTACATATATTATATATATGTATATATATATTTAAAGAAACTAGAGGTTAATTCACTCAGTATAAAACTCTACACCGGTACTACTGGACACCATCTAGGCTTTTCAAAATAGGACTAATAAATACCAACATATGCTGGAAATGCAAGAAAGAGATGGGCACATTTGTACATCTCATATGGGAATGTTCTATAGTCAACCCATTTTGGCAAAGAGTGTTGGAATTCTTAGAGGCATGGGTAGGAATATCCTTGTCATTAGGCGATAAAACAGAAATTCCAAAACTGACAAAATGTTCTTATTCAGTTTTAATGGTTGGGATAACCTCAGCTGCCAGAATTATATTGAGACACCCACAATACCAACATTTAACGAACGGAAGGCTCTGATGACAACACGTTCTCACTCCCAACCCGTCACATATTGAGAGACGGTCAGGGCCCCTCCCCGTCACTCTATTACGTACAGGGTACCCCTTGGAAGTCAGTTTTCAACGGGCAGGGCGTCCCATAGACCTTCATAGACCTCCCATAGCGTTGATAATAGACGCCATGAGAACGCTCCCCGGCAAATGCTACCCCGACGGTCGGTTGTTATTGTCAATATTAATATAATAATTATTTATTTTTTAATAGTCACACTCGATTTCGCCGATTTTCTTGTTGCCCCAGCTGGTCGACACCTCTTTTAGCAGAAACAAAGGCTACATTAATGTAAATCGATGTTAATCCATGTGTGTGGTTGTGGAATTCATGAACGTGCCGTTGTGCGATTGCGCAACGCAATAATTTACAAACTCTTCAACTACAACCCTAATTATATTTTAAAACATTTTAGAAGGCCTCACGAAATACTTTAATGTAAATTTAAATTTAAATGTGTGTAATGTGGTGATTATTATTCACCTGCGGATCTATGGGTTGGGGTATTGTTGCGCACGGACATTATAGTTAACCGGACTTCCTGTTGATGTGAATCGGAACATTTTACAAAATAAAATACTACTGCATATTCACAGCTGTTAGCATGCTGATGTAAGCGCCTATGCAAGCTCAGATCACATAACGCATGTATCTCATCTCTTTCGACGGCTCGAGCGTTTAGATCTACAACCAGGAGTCACATTATATGCTTTCACTAACACGATTGGTTTATCTATAGATCGGCCACTTTCACCAACACGATTTAGCACCTTGATATCGTGTTAGCTCTATGAAACCTGATTTAAAGCTATGTGTTTCTGTTGGTAGTCTCACGGTTTGTATCGTGTGATCGGAAGACCGCAATTATTGTAGTCGCTTTGTATATTAGCGGTCAACTAAATGCAATATAATTGTAATTGTAAGATTGGATCGATGGGCTTGATCTGCCATATTGCCTCTGAACCTGTTGAAAAGTGCATGTTTCAGTGCTTATCAATTACAACAGGAGGGGTCACCAGACATAAGACCAGCTGGCTAAATTAAAGCTCTTCTGACCTTAGGCTGTCATGGGGTATATATTAATTCTGCCCATTATTGGGCACAGCCAATTTTCACCTTTATTATATGTTTTAAATTTGAGTGTTTCCTATGCCCCTAAACGTTCCAGGGATGGTATACAGTTTAATACTTGGCGGACTTTTATTGATTGGGAAATGCCGACAAACGTCTTTTAAAACTAGCAATTCCCAAGGGTGAGACGTGCCATATCATGTTGCCAAACACACCAATAGCCAGCATGTGTAGTT